GTCCCAACGGACCCCGTTTGTCGTGCCTATGTCTAGTTTGATATTTCGGGTACCGTTCGTAGGGTTATGAGTCTCATGAATTGCATGCTAGTTGAATTGGTATCCCGTTGACCTAGGAGGAAGAAGTATGATCCCCTTAGGACTATCCTTAGTACGTGATGGATCACGCATAAGGTTGTTATACGCTTTATTCCCCTTCCCAATGTGTAATGTGGGTTGCATGTGCTTGCTATGTGTTATATGTGCGTGTTGCCCCAATTCGGTTGCGATCGGATTGGTTATCCTGAGCTGCGGTTCAGAAGCCGGCTACAGTCAGATGGGAATTCCTGGCTGTAGTCGGATGACGGTATCCTGGGCTGCGGTTCAGAAGCTGGTTGTGGTCAGATGGGAATTCCTGGCTGCAATCAGATGACATTTTCCTGAGCTGCGGTTCAGAGGCTGGCTGTAGTCAGATGGGAATTCCTGGCTACAGTCAGATGACACACTCTCTTGGGCTGCGGTCCACTGTTTGGTTGCGATCAAACATTATGATGAGCTGCGGTTCATCGGTCGGTTGCGATCGACCTCCCCGTGTTGCGATACGGGGCATGGTGCTGCGGGGCTGTGTCAGAGCTATATGCGCTGACCCTCATGTATGGGCATGCGATCGGTCCTGTGGCGCCAACAATGTGCGTTATGTGTGTGATATGGACGAGTTGTGATTATGAGTGCCTTGGGATGTGACTATGGGATTTATATTGGGGATTGTTTATGATGGGTTGTGATTATTATTTATGCTTTGCCTTATCTGCCTTATCTATTGTGAACTGCATATGCTCGTTATAATTATTGCTTGTGTCTGACCTTATCTGTCGAGTTATTCCCGGTTTTAAAAGCTAGAGTTCATAGGATATATCTTCATGCTCATAATGGTTTTCGTATATCTATATATATCTCTATATGTATTGTATTTCAACGCGCTGGAGTGGGTTACCAGCATCTCTCGCTGAACAGATATATTTGGCTTTCAGGCACAGAAGATTAAGTCACTGGAGTGCGCTAGAACTTAGAAGTAGATAGTTTCCCTTTTAGCCTGCGTGCCACGTTTACGTATTTACGCTTTGAGGATATTAGTTAGTTAGCCTGTGCACTTGGGTTCTCTAGCCCAGGTGTGGCATAGCACCCCGAACGCTTGTAATTATATCTTGGGATTTAATAAGATTCTACCTTTATTATAAGTTTTAAATGTCTTGAAATTCTGGGGTGTTACAATGTGTGTGTGTGTGTGTGTGTGTATATATATATTATATATATATATATATATATATATATATATATATATATATAATGGTTCTTTCTTTAATGTCTTTTAATGAGAATCTTGAAATATATTTAAGTGATTCAATCCAAATGGGCACGTGCTATAAAGCTTGTTTTTGTTCTTTTGGTTGTCATGAAATGTGTTTCACTAAGCAGCCTCCAAATTCTATAATTAAGTTGAGTTAAGGACACAGACAAATCAATATACGAAGTGTATGCTATTTTGCTAGTTGTGGATTGTTAATTGTTAAAAGACTGCTTTTAAATAGATTGCTCATTATCATCTATCTAAGTACCATGCTATTAGGACTCTATGTATTTGAGTTAGATTATGATTCCCAATCCCAGTCTCCCTAAGACTCCTTTGTTATATATACCTGTAATCTGTACTATTGTAATTATCTCATTCAATACAATTCTATCAGTTCTCATCTGGTATCAGTTAAGCTAGGGTTTCTTTCCAATGGCTCACAGAGCTGTTGCATCATCGGAAAGGACCTTCTCTAATCTTCCTATCTCTTCGGTCACATCGACCGTAAATTCCTTGTCCACTGCTCACCACTTTAGCAGCATCAAACTGTCCTACAAGTACTATTTGTTTTGGAGAGCTCAAGTTGTTACCTTTCTTGATGGTCATGATTTAATTGGGTTCATTGACGGTATGAACACATGTCCGCCGACTTTACTTTCTGGTGGTGAAGACGACGTAGTGGCACTACCCAACCCTGCCCACCGAGCTTGAGTTTGCCAGGATCAAGCCCTCCTATCCATGCTGATGTTGTCATTCTCCGATGAGGTCATGCCACTCGCCATCGGTCACCATACCAGTTGGCAGTTTGGATTGCCGTCGTCGGTGCCCTGGCGTCGTTCTCTTGTTCTCGTTGCTTAAACCTTCTTGGCCAACTACTATCGCTTCACAAACGAGATTCATCCGTTGTTGACTACATCGGAAAAGCAAGGGTATTAGTTGAGGAACTTACCCTCGCCGACCGTCTGTTGATGCTTGAGGAAAAAAATCTTTATGTTCTTCGAGGGTTACGGCCCGAGTTCCGGGGGCTCACATCCTCTCTCAATGTTCGGGGTCAGCCCGTCATGCTCCAAGAACTCACTGATCTTTTTAGTGTGGAGGAGTTCATGATGGGCAGTGGTTCCGGCGGTGGCTCACCGGCAGCCTTCACGATGTAGAGTAGTAAAGGCGACGTGGTTCCCAGCCTCATGGTGGCGGCGGTCGCGGTAACGGGCAGAACAGCGACCAAACCGGCCAGTCGCGCGGTGGTGGCGGCGGCCGGAGTCGCGGTGGTGGACGCTGCGGCGGTGGTATGAACTGTAATTGGCAACCTAAATGTCAATTATGTTCGGTAATTGGTCATACTGCGGTCACATGTCATCTCAGGTATGCCAAAGATCCTCAGGCTAACATCATTTATCAAGAACCTCTTTCGGATTCTCAGGGGTCTCATACTTGGTTTCCAGACACGGGTGCAACCAATCATGCTACTCCGGACATAGCTGCTCTTTTAGTCTTGGAAAAGTACAACGGTAATGACACGTTACGTGTCGGTGTTGGTATGGGTATACCTATTAGTCGTATCGGTCATGCTACTTTTAATACCCCTTCTAGATCTTTTCGATTATCAAATATCCTTCATGTTCCTAGTTTGTCTACATCTTTATTATCTTTCCATAAATTTGCGTCGGATAATAAGGTTTTTTTTTAGTTTCACCCGTTTTTTTTTGTGAATGATATTAACACTAAGGAAACTCTTCTCTGGGGGGCTTTACAAGCTTCCTATTCCAAGTTCGTCTCTTACTGCGTTTCTCTCATCTCGTACATCCGCGTCAGTTTGGCATGATCGTCTAGGTCATCCACACCAACGTGTTATTAGTCAAATTCTTTCGTCTTGTTCGGTTAGTGGGTCAAAAAATAATATTCGTTGTATTTTGGATCTATGTCATACATGTCAGCTTGGGAAGTCTGTACATTTTTCCTTACCACGTGTTGAGTCCTCTAGTTCATGTATTCTTGATTTAGTTTACACAGACATTTGGGGACCAGCTCTCATTCTTTCTAATAATGGATATCGTTACTTCGTTATATTTGTTGATGACTACTCTCGTTACACTTGGTATTTCCACATGTCTCAGAAATCTGAACTATATGCAATTTTTGACAAGTTTCGTGTTATGATTGAGCGTTCGTTCAATCGTAAAATAAAATCCATACAGTCTGGCCTAGGAGCTGAAATATAAAAAGTTACATTCCAACTGACCTAACTAGGCATTATTCAGAGACAGTCTTTTGCATACACTCATGAACAAAATGGTCGTGCCGAAAGAAAGCATAGGTATCTTGTTGATACAGGTTTAGCACTTATGAGCCGTGCTTCTGTTCTCTCTAAGTATTGGGATTATGCTTTTGAGACTGTGGTTTATTTAATTAACAAGATGCCATCTACTTTGTTTAATAACTCCAGTCATCATCTTTTATTGCATAAATCCCCTCCGTCTTATTCCTTTCTTCGTGTCTTTAGTTGTCTATGTTATCCTTACTTGCGGCCCTATAATCGTCACAAAATGTCTTACAGATCTTCCTCTTGTGTCTTTCTTGGTTATCCTGAGTCATTTTGGGGGTATAGGTGCATGGACCTTCAGATTAATAAGATATATGTATGCAGGCATGTTCGGTTTAATGAAGGAGTGTTTCCTTTCAGTAAAAATGTTTTGCAGGCACCACCAGTTCAGAGATTCAGCCATGGGATGAATCTGTGATTGTTCCAATCCAGCTCATGGCTATGGTTCAGATTACTAAGCCTGAACCGGCCCCGGATCTTGCTACTCAACCGGAACCAGCTGCTCACACCGAAGCTGCTGTTGTCGCCCGCCCTCGAGGCCACTCGAGGGGGCGATCTACGGTCAGAACGCACACCATGGCGACTCGGAGTCGGTCTGAGCCCCCCTTTTGGCTCTGTCTGCTCAGGTTTGTGCTACTGAACCCACTTGTTATACATAAGCAGTCAAACATGATGAGTGGCACAAAGCAATGGATGATGAGTTTAATGCACTTCTTCAGTATGAATGTTATTTGGTGCAAATGGTTTTTTTCACACCAAACGGAAAGATGATGGATCGATTGAACGATACAAAGAAAGGTTAGTCCCAAAGGGTTTAATCAAGTACCTAGACAGGATTTTTTCGATACATTCAGTCTAGTAGTCAAACCCATCACAGTCAGGTTACTTCTATCTTTGGCTATATCCTCTGGATGGGTTGTTAAGTAGCTTGATGTGCACAGTGCTTTTTTGAAGGGACATTGTCTGAAACTATTTATATGAAGCAACCACCTGGATATATTGATAAGCAATTTGCTAATCACGTTTGCCTGTTAAAACATTCTCTCTATGGATTAAAACAAGCTCATAGAGCTTGGTCTAATCGATTGCATGTGTTTATGATGACAACAGGGTTTAAAGCTTCGAAAACATATGTATCTTTATTTTACTACTCATAGGGTCAGGCTTCATTTATGTTCTGGTGTATGTTGATGATATTCTTGTAATGGGCAATGGTCAAAATCTTGTCAGCACTTTACTAACACATTATGCTTTACATTCAAGATTAGGGATCTTGGTGAACCTAGTTTCTTTCTTGGGATTGAAACTGCTAAATGTGGTGATGGAATTTTTCTTTCTCAACAATGATACATGACTGACATCTTAAAATGTGTTGGCATGAAAGACTGTCAACCCTTAATTACTCCTATATCTGCTTCAAAAACCACTGTTTTTAACGTTGATTTATATGATGATGCTACACAGTATAGAAGTTTGGCTGGAGCTTTACAGTATCTTACGGTTACTCGTCCAGATCTATCCTTTGCGGTCAACCAACTATGTCAACACATGCATGCTTCTATAATCTCTCATTGGGAGCAATTGAAACATGTACGGAGGTATGTAAAGGGAACTACTACTTATGGTCTGCGAATACGGAAGTCACTGTCCAGAGAGTTACATGCTATTTCAGATTCCGATTGGGCTGGCTGTCCTGAGGATCGTAAGTCTACTAGTGGGCACGCTGTTTTTCTTGGTTCCAACCTTATATCATGGGTATGTAAGAAACAGAGAACTGTTGCTAGATCATCTACTGAGGTTGAATATAAAGCTTTAGCAGATGTTTGTGTTGAGGTAAGTTGGATCATCTCTCTACTACGTGAAATTGGCGTGACTGGTGTGTCGACTCCCAGGCTTTGGTGTTATAATCTTGGTGTTACATACAAGTGTGCCAATCACATTTTTCATGCTCGTACTAAGCATGTAGAAATTGATTATCACTTTGTTAGAGACAGAGTTGCGAATGGAGATATACATGTTAATTTTATTTCAACTAACGATCAACTGGCAGATATCTTTACCAAAGCTCTACCTGGTTCTAGATTTTCTTTTCTTAGAGACAAGCTACAAGTCACTACTTTACCTTGTGCTTGAGGGGAGTATTAAGACTCTGTGTATTTGAGTTAGATTATGATTCTCAATCCCAGTCTCACTAAGACTCTCTTGTTATATATACATGTAATATGTACTATTGTAATTATCTCATTCAATACAATTCTATCAGTTCTCATCCATGCTAATTGATACTATGGGAGGTGCAAGATGTTTGACAATTACCAAAAAAAAAAAAAAAAAAAAGAGAGAGTAAAGTGTTAAGGATATAATATTTGGTAGGCATAATAGTCTAAATAAATAATCAAATTATTATGTAATGGAGGTAGACTATTTTTACAAATCGACCAGTCTATATAAAACAAATATTTTTTAAAGTTTGACTCCCAACAAGAGTGAACTATTGGTCTTTTTGGTTTGAGTTGGTCAGCTATGAGCAACCTTGTCTGATTTACCTTATTGTGAATCTATTGTGACGCATATTATGTATGTGTGCTTGCATATTTAAAAAGACAAATCATTGAAACTTTTAGCTTTGAGCTCGTGGCCCAATTCCTGTAGAAGTTCCCAATGGGAATTAAATTTTTCTTTATATCTGACGGATAATAGGAGCTTACCACTATTATTACTCTTAAATTTATTCCGCTACACTCATAGCTTGAGAGTAAAACAGTTAAAGCAATCAAACGTAATGGTTGCACACATATTACAGAGAACCACCACATTAAGGAGCAGCAGTTGTGAAGAGCACGTCTACTTATTGATTAAAGCGCCACAGTTATTATAGTGCCCGTTGTATTGATCATTATAGCCCTTGTACTTATTAGTATAAATACTAGACCCTTGTGACATGCTCAATCTTGTACTCAACCTTAGCAATATAGCTACTACTTATTTACTCCTTTCCATAAGGATATTTCGATAACTTTAAAATCATTATTGGTCCTGATAGATACCCCAAATTAGATAGCTGGTAGGGATATAAAACAAGGCAGTCAATTCAAGCATGACTAACACTTAACAGATGGACAATACCCATGATCTCGGTACGACATATAAAGCGCCTAGAGATCGTGGCTAGTCATCTTCAAGCAACCGGCTATTCAGGAGAGCAAACTGCTACTCAGGCGGAGATCGGTCGGTTCGGGTTAAGTGACCAGGTCCGGTAGCCGGTGTGTCCTCGGCTAGGTTTTCATATGAGACTCGGTTGGGCGACCAGCCTCGAAAGTCGGTGTGTCCCCGACCGAATTCCTTGCGGGATTCTGGTGGGCGACCAGGCTCTGTCCCCGACTGGGTACCACTCAGGAACTCAATCAGGCGACCAGGCTCCGTGGTCAGAGTGTTCTCACCCGGGTATCGCGGCCCCTCAGAACCCCTCCTCGGTAGTCAAGCCATCCCCGACTGGGTGCGCGCCCGGAGGCGGTTACAGGCAAATTGCGCGGAGACTTCCTTATTTATTTTCAGTAGTTTCCTTTGTTAGCTCAAACCGTTATGGTATGAAGTAGGCCAGATTCCATATTCGAATTGGCCCTACGTCAGCCCTACTTCCCATATAGAATTGGCTCTACGTGAGCCATGCTTTCCTTGTAGGAATCTTGTTCACTATTATAAATATCTCCTCGGATCACCATGTAAAGGGACGGCAATTCTGGCACTCTAGCGGCCGAAACTCTGGGGAAATAATACCACATTATTCTCTCTATCACTTTGCTGTTTTATTCATCTAACCCTTTGATTTACGTATTTTACGGTAGTGTTGGCTCGCCGACCGGCATCCAAAAATTGTAAAACCAACAGGTGCTTTTATTGAGAGTTTGAGATCAACTCTCAAGTAGGCTATCACTTATTATAAACAAACTTGAACAATGGAACGATCAGGCAACTCCAATGGTAGCAAAAACACTGACCCACTTGGTGGAAGTGTTGGTCCCCCGCGATCAGCCTAGGATGAAGTTGAGGTGATGTCACCACGTACGACGAGACAAAACCCAACGTCGAGAAAAGGGAACATGTGCAATGGGTTGTCGTCCAAAAACTCAGCCTCGCTCTTAGGAAAGAGGGGTTGGGTCGGCTAGACGACCCGTTAGTTCTAGGTCCATCCTAGAGCAATTAAATGAAATGGTGCTTGTTCGAGAAAGGTTAGGGTCACAACTGAGGGCTAAGGTGTCATCTACCAGGAACCGTAAGATTGAGTTAGGATGGTGGGTCCGGAGAGTAGTCGCCACTCTCAGAAAGGGTGGGTGAATCTAGTGGGCCAACTTCGCGTCGGTCTACCATATAGAAAATAACTCGAAATGGGTAGGAAGAGATGATAGAGTGGTTACATAGGAAGATAGAGGAATTAGAGGAAAAAAATGAGAATGAAGGAGCAATCACTTAAACCCAAAGTAAGGATGACCATGTCATTTACTTCGAGTATAATAGATGCGTCCCTACCTAGGGAATTTAGGCTTCCAGATATCAAGGCCTACATTGGGATATCTAACCCCCATGTACACATAATGAACTATAAGGTGGCTATGGTGACGATTTGGGCGGATGATGCGATCATGTGCAGGGTATTACTATCCACTTTGGACCAAGGGGTCATCTACTAGGGAACCGCAGGATTGAGTTAAGATAATGTGTAGGGGAGAGTAGTTGTCACGCTCGGAAAGGGCGGGTGAATTTATTGTGCCAACTTTGTGTCGGCCTGCCAAATAGAAAATAACTCCAAATGGGTTGGAAGATATGGTAGAGTGGTTGCATCGAAGATAGAGGACTTAGAGAAAAAATGAGAACGAGGGATGTGACACCTCGTAATCCAAATTCAATTAAGGGATTAATTAAGTAATTGATCCTAAACCAATTGGTAATTTAATTCCTAAAATTCCTGAAAATTCAATAGTCGGAGACTAGTAATTGACTAGTCAACCCCAAAGTCAAGGTTGTACCTTAAGCTTTGTAAGGAGTTCCCTTGTTCCCTTACACCTCTTTATGTTAGTAAGGGTATTCATGACTTTTCACCTTGTGTTAGTAATGCAAGCTAACCTAGTAGACACTCCTCATTTCTCTCCTTACACTTTCCAAACTTTAGCTCTACCTTCTCTCTAAAAAGGTAGATAGCTTTTCTTCCAAGCCAAGTTGAAGCTTTGTCAAATCTTCAAGAGTTGTCTCCAAGATTCTACCTTTCATACATTTCGGCATTTAGGAGGGTAAGATCTATGTTCATCTTGTGTTTTTAGAGTTTTCTTAGGTGTCTTTTCTTAAAGATAGAATCTTTATGATCTTTTGGTGTGTTCTTGAAGTGGGTTTGGAAGGTGAGCCTATTTAGGAGCTTGGTGAAGTGTTAAGTGAAGGTTTTTGTCTACAAGAGGTAACCCATGCTCTACAAAATCTATTTTGCTTACCTATATAATGATTTCTTGGATTCTACATGTGATTTTGCTATGAAATGTGAGTGTTTATGCATTGTCTTGTGAAAATGCATATCTAGAGCTTGTGTTTAGGGTTCTTGTAAGCCATTGCTTGGCTATTCCTTTGATTCAAGTCATTTTGTTGTATTTGGTGAGATATGGAATGTTTTGGACTTGAATTTGAGCTTGGTGTTGAAAATCCTCGAAGGGATTATTTTGGGCACAGGTATGTACCCGCGGGCGGAACGACGGGTAGAGCTCCACCCACCGCCCACCCGCGAGGAACATATGGCCAGTGGGTGTGTACCCGCGGGCGGAACCACGGGTGGGAGCCTACCCATGGGTCCACCCGCGGGGAACATCATAGTGGATGTTCGGGATTTGTTCCCCGTGATTCTTTTGACTCGGTATTTGGTCTTTTGACTTCTCGATGTTCTTTTGTGGAACTATTTGAGCGTCTTCTTGATGCTTTGTATGTCTAGAACTATATGGTAGGAATCCATGTAGGTTTTGGTGTCTTGAATCGTGCTAAGTGTTCAACATTGTGTTTCGTTGAACCGTGATGAGTCTTGTGTGTTCTTCGGAACTACGTTTGGTTTACCCGTTTAATAAGCATGCTAGTTCGGTGTTTAAATGCTAGCATGTGTGTTGTTTGTACCTTCCGATTGTTGATGATAACTTGTGTTATTCATCGGTGTTGTTGGACTGTGATCCATTCCTTGATTGAGTATGGTTTCATATCTTCGTTGTGATCTGTTGATTGATTCCTGATGAGGTGTGATGTGTGTGTGGCTTTACCTGGATTGCACGATTAGTGGTATGGGACACTAGTCACCAAGGTATTGCAGTGGTCCTCGTGGTGGCCATGACGTGATTATGGAGTTTGTGACCTGAGTGATGGGTTCACGTATTTCTTAGGTGGCATGTGTTGCCGTGTGTGTGATCGGTACCCTCGTGTACTATGAATTGGTGGTCTTGTTGGTGGTTTGTTGGTGGGGGACGACGGTCCCAGGAGGGAAAAGGTTGGACTAAGAAGTACAGGGGTCCTAGAGGTAACGGCTGGAACTAGACATAAGGTTGGGGGGTAGCCATAAGGTTGGAACTGGGCATAAAGAAGGCATATCAACTCGTGATGGGTGATGTCACGAGGGCTTGTGTAGCCGTTGTTGTGTATTTCTCTATTTGTGACGTGTGATGTCACAAAGGCATGTGTTGCCAATGGTTGTGTCCTTGTTCTCTTCAGTTGTGTATGTCGGGTGTAAATCTATTGTGTGATGATAGATTATACCTTGAGTCGTTCTTACGAGTTGTTGTTGTCCTTTGTGGTCTTGGGATGTGTTCCCTTATCTTTTTGTGAGTGCTTTGAGTCTTGTGTTAACCTTTGCTCTTGGTTTTGAACTTATATATATATATATATATATATATATATATATATATATATATATATATATATATATATATATATATATATATATATATATATATATATATATATATTCCGTTTTGCAAAAGGGTTTACATATGTATATGTTATCTATGTATGATATTTCACATGTATTGGTGGGTTACCAGCATCATTCGCTGATCGGGCGTCGTCCCATCTTTTATGTGTTTCTTTCAGGTGATGTTTAGACGAGAGCGCGGTTTAGTGCCAGCTAGTGTAGCTCCTTCTTGTGTTTTGTGGCCTGTGAGCCAGTTTAGACTTAGTACTTGATCTTGTATGGTTTTAGATGTTGAATTATGCAGATATTAGCCTGTGCGTTCATCCCTTGATGAGCGTGGCATAGCACCCCTTTGACTTCAAGTTTATATATTCCTCTTTCAGTCTTCCGCTGAGTCTAATATTTTGTTTAAGATATCTGCATGTTTAAGGCTTTAAATAGCTTGTTTTTTAGGGGGTGTTACAAGGGAGCAGTCGCCTGAACTCGAAGTACGGATGACCATGTCATTTACTCCGAGTATAATAGATGTGTCCTAAGATCTTGTCAACTGAAAGCTTAAATCCTACTCATTTTGTACCATCCTAGTCTCAAATGTTTCTGTGTCGTTACCTAATGAGTCAGTTAAACACCTTGAGAATTACATATGTTTTGCTTGATGTTCTTGATAGTATTGATTCTCTATTTGATATTTTTTTGATTGGTAAAAAAAAAGGGGTCAAGGTCTGTCCTTGGCCGGAGTCCAGTCTCGGCCGGACAGGAAAAAAATGCTGGCAAATAATAATAATAATTTTTGGTCCTAGTAAGAGGGGTTAAAAGTCTAGAGAGGGGGGGGGGGTGAATAGACTCTTAAGAATTTTGAAAATTTTAACAATTCGGCTAAACAGATCCGAAGGGTTAATTCTTCATAGTAAACCGTTCGTTGAGTATGCACAGTGGAAAATGTTTTAACTCCTTTTTAATTGTTTTGCATTTAAGGTTTGCTCTTTTGAAATGTTAGCAGTTTTGAGTTTATAAATGAATGAAGCAAAATAAAAGATAGAGAGAGAGAGAGAGTTTTTATAGTGGTTCGGCCAACTTAGCTTACTTCACTCTTCTCCTATAAACTCCAAAGGAGGTTTGCACTAATCCCTTTAGTACATAAAGAACACTCAAGCCCTTGAGTTTCTTAGGTTTTTCAACTCAACACGAGTTTACTTCACCTCTTTCTACTTCTATCGAGTAACGATACAAGTTTTCAAAGAAAGATCTCTTTAATTCTCCAACTAGCTAGAAGACTTGGCTCTTGATGTTGAACTTGATCTTCACTTTGTGCAGCACAGGCTTCTATTCTGGATTTGGCGTTATAGCTTTAACTCTCACATTGGTTACGTAAATGAAAATTGAATGCTTTTGAACACTTGAATATTTTTCTCTTAATCAACCGACACCTTCTTTAGTCTTAAATGAAGGTATTTATAGGCGTTTTGAACTGAATCCGTTGGAGGGAAACGCATTTCAAACATCCTTTAACAATCAGGTAATGACCGTAAATCGAAATGTTACTTCATGTGTCAGATTTTCACTACAAAAAATGCTAAAATAGCAATGTAAAGTGGCGTATTATCGCTAAAAAGGAAAAATACGTCGCTAAAGTGAATAGGGATGGATTATCGATGGATTTGGTCCATTGCTAAAAGTGGCGAAGCTATTCACTTGCAATGAATTCTAATTTCGTCGCAAAATTTAGCGATGGATTTTTCCGTCGCTATTTTCCTCCCTATGACGATTTGATTGACGAATTTTGCAAGGGAATAGCAACAAAATATTTGATCGCTAAATCTAGTGACAGATGTTTCTGTCGCTATTTCGTTGCCATTCTTTATTGTTAGAAGGTATTATTAAGCTATGGATTTGCTACTATATTTGTCAATCGCTAAATTTTTAAAATTAAAAAATATATGTCCACTAATTAATATCTCATACCTATATTAAACCTATAATATTGTACTTCAATAATATAATTACAAAATATATTATATTAAGAAATTCAAATTGAATAACAATATCAAAAGTATTGCATTATAAAGTGTTACATCGTTAGAAACGATATCAAATATAATAATACACATAGGTTAATCGTCACCTATGGCTATTATCATTGATAAATAAAGATGTCTTAGTCCCTAGGCTATAAAAACGTTGTTTCTTTACCCCACCAGCAACATCTACATACAGCTTTGACATGTTTATAATTGGTCAATTGCAAACAATTTTGAGGAAAACAAATAATGTGGATCTCAATGTCAGGTTCCTGAGTTTAGCCCTAGATGTATAGTCCTTCAAAGTCAGGTTCCTGAGCAACACTACAGACATGAAAGAAGGAAAGCATCAGTAGAGAGGATTGACAACTAAAGACTGTTAGGAACACTTGTAATTAGATTTTGATGATACCAACCTATTTAGGAATTTAGACCCCTCATTTTACTCTCGTTGTAATAAGTGCTCAGGCAGGACAAATCATCTTTGGGAACGTTGATGTTCACAGCACAAAAATTGATTCGTGTTTAGTTTCTACTAACCCGAATAAGTACACCCTCTGGATGCCATCGTCAAGATAAAGAGAATACAAGACCGAGAAATCTATAAAGACTGAAACATGGAAGGGTCTATCTCTCTGACAAGTTATTGACAAATGATAAAGAAAGATTATTTGATATGTGAAGAGAACAAATGATAAAGACAATCATTCGTTACCAGAGCTAAAAAACACGAGTCATGATCTGACTCGATCGGACAAGTCATTCATACTCTTAGAAGTATAACTGTCCAAAGTCCCAACGTGCTGGGTAAATCATTCTATACAAATGGTGTCCTAACAATGTGATTTCAAACTTCAAGGATCATTAAATGATTGGTATATTTTTGGTAGTACTAAAAGACAAAAAGGTAGGTCACTTTTTGAAGCCAACGGCTACACAGTACAAGCCGCATTAATGGCTCCTTATGCAGCGGACAATACACATTGGTCAATAGGTTTTTTGAAATTTCATCTCCCTCTAACGGATGAATTTTTCACACCTATAAATACCCCCCTTCTACACTTGAAGAAGGTGTTGGTCATCACTCATTGCTAACAAAGCTTACAAAATTCTCAAGCTTACAAGTTCTATTGCGACTAGTGTGTTTGTGAAGATTATTTTCAAAAACTCTCAAGTTTTCAAGTATCTTCACATCCTCAAGAAATCTTGGACAAGTTTTATACGAAGATCAAGCTTCATCAGGGCAAGATTTCAGTTGGAGAAAAACAAAAAACATTTTCTCAAACCACACTCAACTCGGAGAAGTTTATAGAGGCGGAGAAAACTCAGGAGGAGTTGAAAAACCTTAGCGAGTTGCTGTCCGGCTTAGTGATCAAGGAAGCAAGCTTGACGGGGTAGTTTGTACTAAGGAGTGATTAGTGAAAACTCACTATATACTAAAAGAAATGGGTTAGAAGAGGATGGAAGATGAAAATACTTGGAGAAAGATGAAGGAAAATAGATGAAGATGAAGGGAAGGGGATTTGCTTACAAATTTCTTCTTCTTCGTCTTGGAGAATTTCCTAGAGCTTGGAGTGAAAGAGGCAAATGCGAGGGATTGGGTTCAAGACAATGAAATAGTAGTGTTTATATAGGTATGGCTCAAAACCCTAGGCAAAGCTGATGGGATTTTCGGCAAAGTGGGGATAGTTTGGTCAATTCGCGATTAAAATCTCGGGTTATAATTTTGGTTCAAAAGTTGGGTCAAGTTAGGATAAAAATAGGTTTCTAATATTTTTAGGAATAAAATAGGTTCATTCATAAGAATATTCTTAGGCCAAAAAACTTGAATCAGTTTCACAAGTTCCACTCAGATTGACTTTTTGGTCCAAGCTTGGTACATAATTATACCCATTAAATAGGATTTTTAAAATATATGAATATTTTGTATTGAATTATTTGAAATAAGAAATTTAAAATATTTAATTCATACACCCTTTTTAATAAATTATCGTTGGAGTAAAAATAATTTATTTAGGATTTTATAAAATAGAATTTGAAGAAATATATTTTGTGTTGTCACACTAACTCTACTACCCTCGTAGCTCGGGAGTAGGGATGCTGGTGACGGGATAGGCACAATTTACTGCTATTATTACTCCCTAGATGACTACGCTACACCCGCAATGCAGGAGTATGGGGACTTGTAACGAGATAATTGGATAAGTTACCCAACACGACCCGGATGCTAGGAAAGAGAACACAACAATAAAAGCGATCAAATGTAACGGTCGCATACTTATTACAAAGCACCGCCTCATTAAGGAGCAATAGTTATGAAGAACACAAACACTTATTAAAAAGAGCGTAGCAGTTATTATATAGGGCTCGTTGTACTGATCATTATAGCCGTTGTACTTATTAGTATAAATACTAGACTTCTGTGACAGGCAAGTGACACGTTCAATCTTGTATTCAAACTCTTAGCAATATAACTACTACTCGTTTACTCCTTTCCATAAAGATATTCTGGTAACTTATTACCGTCAATATCTATAAAAAAAATTAAAATTAACCAACTTGGTTGGCGTGAGTGACTGTACACTTTCGTCTCTTAAGAGGGGTCGGGAGTTCGAACCCCTCTCGTATAAAAAAATCAATATGGCCAGCACTTTGTCCCTTAATTGGGCCGTCACAGTGTGAATGGGGATTACTTTGAATATGGTACGGACTTAAATTAAAGGTTCCACCTCATGGTCTGACCAAAAAAAATATATTTAAAAAATTGACCTAAAACTAATTTTTAGTTTTTAAAAATATTTTTAACTATCTATTATTATTATCATCATCATTCTTTATCATATGAAATAACATCTACATGAAATTGTACACCTACTTACCGACTCACTAGTCGGGCCCAATCGGTAGTGTTGGATGTTGATGGTCTTTTGATGTGCCAAGTTTGGTATACTACAGATGTTCTAACTGAACATTATAAATACAATGCACGGACATATTAGTAGTATATCTTGTATGGGACGCAGCATGCATGTACAATTTGCATGTGTACCTATTGTTGCCTTGTTGGAAGTGGATGGACAATACGAGATCACACAGGAAATAAGAAGATGGGTTTCATTTTTGAACATGGATATGCTTATTAATTAAATGTCCTTAAAGAACTTATTTTATCACGTAATTTGTATTGACTGCTTTTTTAAATCAATAAGCAGTCAACACAATGAAAAGTATGAAGTAAAATGATAATATGACTATTTGAACATGAAAAACACAAAACACTTTTGTAATACAAATTAAAATTGTTAAGCATATAATATATATAAACATAAATGTGCAGTCAAACTATTAGTTTAATCTTTTAGTTAAGATAGAGCGCATGCTTCAATTTGATATCAGAGTCATGCTAAAGGTCATGGTTCGAAGGAAATTTAGTCTTTGGCTTGGTAGTCAGTCATTTAGCTAGAGTAGTTTTGTTCATATTTCAAAAGTTGTTTATTTTTTTGCATTTCATTTTGTCTATTTTAGTCCATTTTCCCATATCAATGGTTTAAAATTAAATTTATTCTATGAATAAAGAAAAATAAAGGGTCACACTTATGTGAGACCGTCTCATAGATCTTTATTCATGAGATGGGTTAGATCAATATGTAAATATATATAATACTTATACTAGCAAATGTAATACTAAATCATGAATTAATATTTGTTACTTATAAGGGAAAACATAATACTTTTGAGGACAAAATGTAATACTTTTATATTTTGATGTAAAAGTATTATTTTTTTCGTCAAAAGTATTATATTTTCCCTTATAAGTAATGTTGCACTTATAAAAGAAAATGTAATACTTTTGATTAAAAAAAATGTAATACTTTTGATTAAAAAAGGTAATACTTTTGATAAAAAAAAATGTAATACTTTTACATAAAAATGTAAAAGTATTACATTTTTCCATATAAGTAATAAACATTTTATTCCTAATTTAGTATTACATTTGCTAGTACAAGTATTATAATTCATCTTGACCCGACCCATCTCAGATACAAAGATCAATGAGACGGTCTCATACAAGTTTTTGCCATCTTCCATCACACTTATGTGAGACCGTCTCACGGATCTTAATCCATGAGACGGGTTGAATCTAAAATAGTTATTTGTTACTTATGATAGAAATCATAATACTTATCACAGAAAATTTAATATCAATTTGAAATAAGTAAATTGTTACTTATAATAGATATTTAAATATTTATATGTGAAACTATGATACTATTTAGGGTAAAATAATTGTTACTAATAAAAAATATAAAATATTGTAATACTTATAATTGGAATTGTGATACTTATAAAGTGTAATTCAAATACAAATCTTGTACTCCGTAATATTTATATGTGAAATGTTACTACTTATGAAAAAAATTGTAATACTTATTGTAGAAATTTAATACTAATTTGAATTAAAAATAAATCTTTACTTATGATATATGTGTGTGTATGTGTGTGTGTGTGTGTGCGCGCGCGTGAAATTGTAATATTATTTATGATAAAATTGATTGTTATTAATAATAAGTATATATTGTAATACTTATAACTGAAATTGTGATATTCAAACACTTAGTTATCAACAACCCGACTCGTTTCACAGGATAGAAATTGACATATGCATTGATCAATCGAGCTCAATTTGCTGCATTATATGAAAAGAGGAGTCGGTGACGATGATGATCGCATGCGCTAGATCTCTATTGTGATAATCTCGTTTGACTGATTAACTTTCTGACCTAAACAGTTCGCTGTTGATATTATATAAATCCTAACCGATTGATCTAATGCATACAACAACAGTAAACAATATAATGCGGAAATCTAACTAGTAGAAAGTAAATGACACAAATATTGATTACCCAGTTCGATACAATGTGTATTTACACCTGGGGGGACGACCATCAATGCGTCCAATCCACTATATTCAACACCAAGTATACAGGAGGTAAGAGATGGAAAGATCCCACTCAATGTGATCAACACACGGTAAGTACTCAACTGTAGAGGCTATAGCATATCGTCGAAGTCAGAGATCTGTGCAATCAGAAGTCCAAAAAGTCCTTTCATGGAGAGCCGCTCTGTTGCAGTTCGATTCACTGACTCACTCTACACTGTCCCACAACTGCATGGTCTTTGCTTCCACAAAATAAGCTTCAATTCAGTGTTTTCTTCTCAAATTCTTCTTCGTAAAGCTTCATAACATATGTCTTAGAGAAAATGATAACTCAGAGTAGTTCTTGTAAAGTATGAGGATAGATAGTTACTGATTCAAGTTCAGAATGCTTCATTGTAGTTATACCTTCAACCTGGAATCATCTCCCATATATATATATATACTACTCTGACGAAACAGGTAGATAAGTAATCTTAATTAAATGTTCATGTAGAAGATTATTGTCTTACCCTTTGAGGTATAATAGAGAGTAGGAACTTTCTTGTAAAGATATCTCAAGAGTAGTGACCGCTCTGCCAGATCAACCAGGATAACTCGGTGAAGTCCAATTGATAGATGCCAGATCAACCAGGATAACTCGGTGAAGTCCAATTGATAGATTCCAAACGCTCTAGCATAGTGACTGCTTAATCAGGTCTTCACTCAATATATTAACAGACACTTAATCTAAAATCTATCTGACTTTTGCCATAATAATTCAGTCAATTACAAGTTTGGGGTTTAGACTTAAAACACTAACTAACATCTATGCTTCGATCTTCTTCTTCTATGATTGTGATGTCTAAAAGTAGTTTGTATGTTTGCTTCAGATGGGAAGCTGCCGCACACATATGTGGTCCGATCCTTCTTTACGGTAGAGGCAAGAATTGAAGTTGCTGGAATCTGAGCCGGGAAGTAAGCTTTCTTCTCTGAAGGTGCTGCCAAGGTCGTCTACGTACATCGGACCCATACGCAAGTCCCACTTGCGTTTAATGTATTATGTACATGAAACACAAGTGAGAATTGCGTTTGAGTCAACATTTCGAAAAAAATAAAACTATCAAACGCATGCGGGACATGCGTTTCTAACCACAAATGTATGTCCCAAATGATCGTTTCCCATTTCAGTCCAGCTTTCAAAATCATCATATTTTTGTCAATTCATAGGAAAAGCTTCCCATTCCAGTTTTTGACTCCATAAATGGTCCCTTGACTATTGATTTTGTTCCAAATTTGGTCATTTAGTTAAATATCCATTTAATAAACATTAAATTTAAGAATAATAATGTACAAATTAGCTTGTTGTTGAGATAGACAAATTGAGTTCATAAATTTAATACATTGAGTTCATTGTGAAGAACTAAATTTTTTACATTATTACCCTTAAATTTAATGTTTATTAAAATGATATTTAACTAGAATATCAAATTTAGAAAAAATCAATAGTCAAGGGACCATTTATGATTAAATTGAAAGTCGATGACAAAAATTGGTAAAGATCAATAGTCAAATGACCATTTATGGTCCAATTGAAAGTCTAAGGATAAAATTGATAAATGACAATAGTCAAAAGATCATTCCTGGAATTAACTCTTATTATTATATAACAAATAATATGTTCATTTTTCATTTAAATAAACCAAACAAAAAATTAATTTTTTTAACTTTTTACCAAATAGAAAAAATAAATAAAAATTCTGACCTTCCACCTAACACCAAAAAATTAAAATATTTTTTAAAAAATAATCATTTTTTAAAAGTTATTTTCCAAAAACATTTTGCAAATTTTCAAACAAATTCCCTTAGGGTAATAATAATTTACAAGTTGAGAAATCATATCCCTAATCTTGTTACTTATATTTATCCCCATATCACTTATGGTACCCTTTGGAGGATTGTAGAATGGAGCAAGCAACATTTTCACCTCATCTGTCAAAACGACGTGTTCAACTGTTCACTTCAACATGCGTCACACGGTCACACCACATTCCCTCTTTGGTGTAGGCTGTTTACAACAATTTTTACCTCTTCAGTGGAAGCAATCTGTAATCTATCTTCTTCTTGATCAATCCCTTTCTTTCATTTTTACTACATAATTACAGAAAAAAAAAAAAAAAAAATTCTTCTGAAGAATTATTGAGCGGCATGATTGATGGAGTTCAATAGCTATGATTTCCCCCATCATAGTCAAGAGCACCTGGAATATTGTACACTTTGGATGGATTTGTTCTAAAATGCCACAACCAATATAATAACATCTTATCCTAGTTCTCATGAACCTGAGTAACTCGCATGGGCAGCTCAGTTGGTCACAGGAATGAAGTTATAGAAAAATGACCATAAATCGAGTCTCACCAGCGACAGTGTAGAAACAACCTCTTAAAGTGGAAAGGTCTAGCATCTGAGTTATCATGATTTATTTCCATTCTCTCAAATGCTCTGTCAGCCCCTTGGAATTCAACCTTTTGGAAGAAGGATGAACTTGAGTACTTGACAGGCTGACAACAAGATTTTTCACACAAATAATGGATGACACCATAATGTTGTTATTTGGTTAAGTATGAACACAAATGTAAGAACAATTCCTTCAAACATTTACTAGTATGAATGTGCACTGCATATGAATACAATAATAGAGGAACATCTACTTGGAAATCAATCAATCAATCATGAGCCCCCATTTTCCAGATCCAATTGCAGAAGATCTCAACTTGTTTAGCTACTTAAAGCAATTTCTCGTAGTTTACTACTCATCCTTTCCAGAATAATAATACCGGAAAACACAGGAGAAGTCTTTGGCCTCGTAACCATCATTGCAGAGCTTTGCATATCTGGATGTGGGTAACCAAGAGCAAATTAGGAAATCCAATAACAATTTCTTCTCTCCTTGACAGTTTGTAACTGTGCCATGGCGCTATTAACCAAAGCTTATAAAACGAGATTAATATTCCTAAGAGGATTGTGTATGCTTTAGCTATACTACAAACTTTAACAGAAGTTGTATTAGCGGAAAGGCTCAATGTTCAAAATACTTTAGAGAGTTGTAATAATGTTAGGAAAGAAGACATACATCTCCTCTGCTTGTGATGTCAAAGGGCATCTTAGTTCTACATTTTTAGCTGATGTTTGAGCAAGCTTTAGATCTTTAAGCTGAAATCAAATAGAAGAGGCAATAATATACACTCGTGATCAATAAGTTTACCAATGCCAGAATAAATACAAAAGAATAAAATACACTGGAATGACGCTATATATGCGTCCCATGATAAATGCATGTTACTCATTGCAAGAGCAAGACTTTATTTTTTATTAGGAAAAACGGCACTTTTGGCCCTGGATTATTTCACTTTTGAAATTTTGGTCCCAGTAAGTTAATTTAAACAAATTTAGCCCCTTAATTGTCTATAATGTTGCACTATTAGTCCCTATTGTTATATAATTGTCAAACTCCATTAACATATTAGTTTAATTTTGTCATTCAGAATCAATTTTCATGGTTAAAAATGGCATTCACATGAAGAAAATGAGACTTTAACTATGAATGTTGATTCTAAATGACAAAAATAACCTCATAAAAAATAGTTTGCTAATAGAGTTTGGTAAGTATATAATACCAGGGACTGAAAGTGTAATACAATAAACAATTAAAGGACTAAATCTGCTTAAATAAATTAACAGGGACCAAGTTTCCAAAATTGAAACAATTCAGGGGCCAAAGTGTTGTTTTCCCTCTTTATTATTATTATTTTTTAAAAATATAATGGACTTTAATATATTAAATTTTAGATAACAAATGCATGGCAGATTTTTTGTTTATAACCTCTTCAGGTAATTAAGTAATTTCCATTCCGATGCTAATAGAATTGAAACCGATGAACCAGGGTATTGTTGAAATCAAAACATATGAATGGGGGTTATCTACTTCCTGAAGAACATATTATTGTACCACATACCATCAACTTGGACATGAAACCTCCTTCATAATTCCTTGAAGAGGGCACCCCATCCATCACACCAGGCACAGGATTATATGTGTCACTGTCATAGTGTCATTTGCATTCTCATAAATGAAAGAGACAAGGTCACAATCTATACCAATAAATAAATGGATAAAATGCACAAAAGCAAAATTCTAGACCATCCATTTGGCGTTGAAAGATCATAGTCCATGCAGTCATAAGCAACATTTAATATGTCAAACTAAGCAGCCTAAGAATATTTCCCCTTTATGGGGTTTTGCCAGGACCACGTACAATCTCAAGAACTTTTCTGTTTGCAGCAAACATTTTACCATTCAACATAAACTTTGTGCTTGTCTGCTTGAGACTTGAGCACAACAACTCTTGAAAGATATTTCATTCATTTTGTTAAAACATGTGCTTTTTTTGCTTAGATTTTCTGTTTTGATATGTTTTTAGTTATTTCTTTAAATTTGAACTCTTGTTCACAAGATTATTAGAGATGAAGTTTTTATTTTTTATTTTTATTTGAAGCTTGATTTCACCAGATATTTTGCTAATAATCTGGTATGGGTTGTTGGTGATTTCAATTGTAGCCTAAAAATACCTCTCCAATCAATGAGAACAAACATACCAGTTTTCTTCCTTTGAGTGTTATTTTTTCTACAATATTTCCAGTTTCGTTGGGCATAAACCATTATACCAATTCAAGAATAAGTAAATCTTTGAAACAAAATTTACAGACTACGGAATAATTCATCAGTTCAGGTTCTAGATGAAGAAATAATGCACATCTTCTTTTACATTTACAGAGTATATTGTTCTGTGAACATGAACAATAAACATTAATTAAAATTTTCAATGTGTGCATTTATATTTCATAGTATGAAGGCAGTAAATGATAAATTCACAAGTTTTACCATTTTATTCTTGCAGTTTTTGCAGAGACAGAATATTAACAATAGAAACTTGTATGTTTGTGTACACAAGTATCCATTGAAAATTCTTTAGACTAAAATATATACAAATATAAAATTGTTCTTTAAGAGGTAAAAGATTGCAATTAATACCTGCTCCAACAGCGAGCACTTGAAGAATTAAATACTTTTGTTAGAGTACTTGATGCAATCCCTTGCGATTGACCAAGGGCAAAGGCTTCTGATACCCCAAGCATACTTACAGCCATTGCCAAGTTGTTGCAAATTTTTGCTGTCTGACAAGTTTTAAAAGAGAATTATTTTAGCAATGAGAATATTTCTTTGACTGGTCATAAGTACAATCTGCACTGTTTCCATGTGATGTTTATTTGTTTAAGAAGCTTTTACTCTAGTTAGTTTGAAAAGTTACAGTTCTTTATTATTGTTGCTTGCACCACAATGATAAATTTCAATAGAGTTGCTTTAAAATATTAGGAAAATTGCACAGTGAAGGAAAAGCAGTCTGCAAGTGTTTACTGTTAATTTTCACTATATATCTGTTATTTCTTTATCTCCCAAACACATAAAGATCTACATATGCATATTTCAGGTAGATCATTCGATAAATCAACCACTACAACAGAAATAAGTATTGGACTCTTTAACACTTTATTGATTTGAATCTAACATAGACAAGCATATCTGATATGTTTAGTAGCAATAGCTGCCATCAAGTTGAAAAAAATGAGAATTATGACTCAATTCTTACTAGTTACCACTCCAGGTTACTAATACACAGTGTTGCAAAAATCGCGCCTAGGCGCTAGGCCTCCTAGGCGTCCTATGCGCCCGCCTAGGCATTCTAGGCGCCCGCCTAGGCATTCTAGGCGCCCGCCTAGACGCTCTAGGCGCCCTAGGTGGTCCCAACGCGCCTAGCGATTTTTTCCATATTGCTAATACATCATAGTTTACGTCCAATAATATCCTTTTCAAACCCCCAGTACCTCCCAACTACAAGCTCATAGAAACAGAGTAATGAGTTTCTAAATGGTCTGGGTCCCGATTCATAGAATAGTTTGATCATTGTACACTGACATTTGGATTTCTGGGTGGTGTTATACCAGTTACGGTGGATCTATTTTTATAGTTGGTCTTGTAGTAAAAGTGCATCCACATACACTAGTTTTGCAGTTTCAGAGGCCTACTAATAGAACTTTAGAGCAAGACTGACATAGAAAGGGATGGCAACGGGGCGGGGCGGGGGCGGGGACTATACTCCCCGCCCCCGCTACCCCGACCCCATCCCCATCCCCATCCCCGTCCCCGTCCCCGTCCCCGGCGGGGAGTAGAAAAAGCTCCCCGTCCCCGTCCCCGCGGGGACGGGGAATCCCCATCCCCGATCAACCCATAGTCAAAATGTTAAACTAATACAATTTTTAAAAATAAAAAAGGAAAATTTTGAAACAGTACATGCTTTATGCTATGAAGTAATGTAAAATTCAAAAATTAGACACAGTACATACAAAACTTACAGTAATATACATTTAAAACTCAAACACAGTTACTCACATTCATTACATATTTAACACAGTACATGCTTTATGCTATGAAATAATGTGAAGTTCAAAACTCAGACACAGAATAATTACATACAAAATTAACAGCAATGTTACTAATGTACATTCACTGTTGAGTTAAGCTACTGAGATTCTAATTTCTAAATTATAATTCTAATAATCTAAATTATAAATTTATTTTATATATATATATATATATATATATATATATATATATATATATATATATATATATATATATATATTTATCGGGGACGGGGCGGGACGGGGCGGGGAGGGGTATCCCCGTCCCCGTCCCCGTCCCCGCCGGGGAATTTAAAATATTCCCCATCCCCGTCCCCGATCCCCGAAAATTTTCTCCGTCCCCGTCCCCGTCTTCAACGGGGATGGGGCACATTGCCATCCCTACATAGAATTTTAAATAGTAAACAAATTGATAACATTTGAAAGGTCTAGACAACATACTGAACCATTTCCCGATCCACCACAATAAATTGAGTTCTTGCCCATTGACAGAAACAAGGGATTTGCAGCTATGTAAGCTTCTTCTGATCCACCAACCTGAATGCATGCCATATTTTGTTCATCAGTTCAAACAAAAAACAAATTTAATTAAAAGAAAATTTCGCCAAAATGGAGCAATGATTACTAGCTTAGGTAACTGATATCATGTCAAATTCTATCATATTATCACATGATGCTAACTGGTGGTGGCACAGGGAGACCACCTGCGGTGTCCAGGAAATGTGATGTCATACCAACCAACCATAAGCTATTTCAACAATTTTATTTGATTGCACATGTGACCAGCAATGAGTGGGTTGAAAGAACTACCTTTCCTTTTGCTATACACCTTATCAAAATTCAGAACTTGTATACTTCTTTCCATAGTTATTAGAGTTTATCTGTAACTCATGAAATTTTAAGTTAACATCACATTAACTTAGATTTCATGCTGACATACACTGGCAATAAACCAATATTATTTAATCAATTAGAAGAGGAGTTAAACCATTTTCCTGGCTTAATATGGTAAACCATCAGTGTTTCAAATGACAAAGAATTCATATTGGGAAAAACTTATTCACTAAAACACTACAGCACAATGAATCCTTTGCTTCATTTATTCCAACAATCACTTAGAAGACAAAATGTAGATACCATGAAAGTAAGACTTCCAGTCTCTGCTGCAAGAACACCACCAGACACAGGAGCATCCAGCATGGAGGGAGCCTCCTGGCCAACTATAAAGGAAAAGATCAGTTTGCCAAAAATATTAAAATGCAAGGACACTGTCAATAAAAACTAGCATTAGTAAACATGTGGCAGTAAATTGATATTGGTGGCCATTTTTTGGCATGTAAAGTTTAAAGGAAAAACCTTGGAAATTTTGGAGGCAGAATAGACTTTTCCAGATAGCCTGACGAGGTGAGAAAATTTTGGCTGTAAAGGAAACTATAACCTAGGTAACCCCAACCCAGTATAAAAATATAAAATACTACCTTCTATAGTACTGTCAACTGAAACATGAGAATTGAGAGCTTCTAATTGCATGGAGGAATTGGAGAATTCCAAGTTCCATATATAAATAAATAATAGCATATCGACAAAAACAAACTTAAAGTGATCAAGATGCATCACAACTCTGAGCCCATTTGGTGTCATCAAGGGTATATGGCTATACTATTTGGATGGAGAACTAAAATTGAGATGAATGATCTCTTAAAGCTTCTTAGGAATCTTAAGCGGAAGAGTTCAATCCAGTTACTGTCAAACTTCATTTCCAAGTGACATGCAAGAATGCAGGTTTTATATGGCATAACTTATTTCAAGAGTAAGGGAAGGATTACAGACAGCAATTATGGGTAAAATTAGGTAACACAAATCTAAGGTAATAAGAAGAAAACCAGAAGTAGATAGCTAAAAGGATATGAAAATTTCATGAACCAAAAAGTAGAACAAGTAACTAAGAAGGATAAGGGTAGCAAGCTGTCAATCCAGGAGCCTACAAAAAAGTAATAGTGTAGACAAATGAAACATAAAAGCATTATTCATGTAGGTGTACCCTTCGTCTCTCTCAAAGAGCAGTCAGAGACAGCCCCAAAGACATTTCTTGATGTTTGCGGGTCAATTGTAGAAGAATCTATAAATAGCCATGGTCTAACTGAATTTCCACCCATTAGCAAACCATTTGGTCCAGTATAGACATCAAGTACCTAGCAAAGTGAATGTTAAATTGCCTGAATGTATCTAGAATGGCAATGAAAGAAAAAAATAATACGTAGATATCTTTAAAATAGTAATTCCAGACATTTACCAGTTTGTCACAACAAATAGTAATAGTAGCTGATAGAAATAGCAGTCCGATACTATAATATAACCAAGAGGACATGAAGTACTTTAGAAAGTATCCATCCTACTTAATGGAGGATTGGAGGGTGCCAAAGTGTCAAACCAGACATCAAAAGCAAGGCCAGATATGCCTCTATGAATAACATTATTCATGCTTCCTTAGAACCAATTGATTACCAATGTTGTCAAAACTTGCAAATGGAATTGCTCAAAAAGATTTCCTCATCATGCCTCAAATGGACTCTCTACTTTCCTATTTAATCTCAAGACTTAGAATAGAAACCAAATCTCAATGGTCAAGGGTCCAGCAATAAACCTAGAGGGCCTAATTTCAACTGGCACAAGCCCATTGGGCCCAGCTTTGCATTACACCAAGAGACGGAAATTCTAAAACAATCTAAGAATGAATTGGGTCAGTAGCTTTACTTCTCCATGTCATCCCTCCAGAATTCTATCAGCACTAAATTCAGGTTCCATATTTCAAAGTGTTTCCCCTGGTCCAGAGCATGCAATATTTTGTTATCTTGTTGGAACTATTGGAAGTATGAGAGAGGGAGAAGGAGATTATAATAGTGATGCCACACAGAAGGCCTTGGCAGTAGGGCTAAGGTAAGGTTGTTGCTTATGTCTAATTCTCCCAAACACTGCCATGTAGAAGTCTCATAGTGATCAACCTTTTACATATCCAGGTGAACTGTGACTAATAGATGGTCATTCTAAGTTTTAGATCCTAGAGCCAATATAATATGGCTAATATAGTAAGATGGAAAAAAAAAAAAAATGGCACTAGAACTCACATGGTTTGATGATGGCAACATTGTAATTACAACATCACTGGCTTCTGCAATTTCAACAGGTGATCCTTTTGTGGGAATTCCTTTGTTAGAAAAACTCTTCATTACATCATGGTTGCTGAAAAAGTAAAAGCAAATGAATAAGCGCTGGCTCAAATTGGAATAGAAATGATACTTGGAACTGAAGAATAACACACAAGAAATATGAATGCATGAGTTTGAATCAGTATATTGTACAATATTTCTTCCAAAAATTGAAAGAAATAAGCATCTCCATTATCATTTGTTTCATTCCAACAGTGTGCTTTTACATTCCTCATATGCAAGTCACAATTGAGATCTCAACTTAGAACCAACAGTCAATTAAAAAGGGCTTAAATCAAAGAAAGGAAGCACACAGAGAGTACTATATGGATATAGGGGAAAAAAGTTTAAAATTACATTACATGTCATGAACGGCAACATCGTATCCAGCCTTAATCAAATTATCAGCCATCCTTGATCCCATATTCCCTAGCCCTATAAATCCGATCTTCTGAAAAATAGTAAAATAAAAAGGCAAGAATTCATAATTCAACCTCCATGAGAACTAATGTGCTTAAACTTATAGCCTCCTTTATACAAAACAAAATTCAAAAATAGAATCAAAAGGCAAGCCATTTCATTTTCACGACCGATGCCTCAAAATTTGAACATTGGACTTGCATTAATGATCAAAGAGCGTGACCTTGAGGAAAACATTACCCAATATCAACCACTTTAAGCAATAAAGAAATAGACAGCCTCATATTTGAATTGCAATGGAGAAGAAAAGGAGCATACTTCAAAGAGATGAGAGGTGGGGCTGGATGAAGAAAAGCGGCGTGTAAGAGAGAAGCAGAATCGGCGGCAGCCGCACTTGTGTAGTTCCAGCAGCGATCTCAAACGTCGTACTCCGGCGGTGACCATTGTTTCGTCGACGCTCTTCCTTGAATTCTTGAAAGGGAAAATCCAGATACAGATACTAGACGGAGATGGAGAGAGCAGTAGTAAACTCACTCCCAGACAATCACAACAGTGTCATGAAATGGGAATTTTTGTCCTACCACACTTGTATTTATATGCGATGTTTACGATGAAGTTGTGTTTAATTACTTTGACCCGATAATCCTTATCTAAATCTAAAAACATAGTTTCCATTCAAATCTAATCAAAAAATATAATAAGCTTCAATCTAGGTTGTATTTTTTATTTATGTCGGGTGTTACTATTTGCACCACCTTTTGATCAAAAGTAAGTATAAAGTATCTTAAAATTGTAAAAAGGTGAAAACTTTCAATAATTACATAGTGGTGTAAATAGCCAAATGGGAATTCATTTTGCTATTTGCACCACCTTGGTCAAACCTCATTTATGAGGTGTAATTAATAATTTTTTAATTCAAAATTTAATTCAGAGAAAATTGTACTTTTTTCCTCCAAGTTATATACTTATAGTACTTTTTACCCCTGAATTATTCATGTTAGCATATTAGTCCCTCAATTATTCTAAAAGTGTCGATTTCCGCCCATAATATATTAAATTGACATTTCTACCCTTAAAGTAAATATTTTATTTATTTTTCTTCTCTAACAAATTTTCGGTTCTGAATCATAAGTATAAGAAAATAAAGTTGTGTTGTGCCTTCACAATTAGTTATATTTGTTTTATATTTTCTTAAACATTTTTAACCCTAAGAATCTAAGCTCTACTCCCAAGGTTCGGACCTATGACTATTTATTTGAAATGGTAATTGAAATGTCATCATATTACATGATAGTTGGCTTAATCATATTATATATAAGGGAAAATAACACTTTTCTCCCTGTGTTGTTTACTAATAGCACATTTTTCCCCTGTGTTGTTTATATAATCACTTTATCCCCCTCAATTGTTTTTGAAGTGGCTATTTTCCTCCCTCTCCGTTAAGTAAGTGTTAGGGCTGTTAAATATGAGGATAAAAATGATAATTCTTCTTCTTCTTCTTCTTCTTCTTCTTCTTCTTGCAGTACTCCCACGCCTAAAATGCACAGTTATATTGCAAACCAAATTCATTAATAATAATAATAATAATAATAATAATAATAATAATAATAATAATAATAATAATAAGTCACACCCAACGCCCTAATATACTGCAATACTCCATGCCTAAAATGCACAGTTATATTTCAAACCAAATTCATTATTATTATTATTATTATTATTATTATTATTATTATTATTATTATTATTATTAGACCCCACTGCACCCAACACCCTAATGTACTGCAGTACTCCACGCCTAAAATGCACAGTTATATTGCAAACCAAATTCATTACTAATAATAATAATAATAATAATAATAATAATAATAATAATAAGTCACACCCAACGCCCTAATATACTGCAATACTCCATGCCTAAAATGCACAGTTATATTTCAAACCAAATTCATTATTAAATTACTAATAATAATAATAATAATAATAATAATAATAATAATAATAATAATAATAATAATAATAATAATAATAATAATAATAATAATAATAATAATAATAATAATAATAATAATAATAATGAAGTGTCATTTTTACCCTCATATTTAACAGCCCTAACACTTATTTAACGGAGAGAGGGAAAATAGCCACTTAAAAAACAATTGAGGGGGATAAAGTGATTACATAAACAACACAGGGGGAAAATGTGCTATTAGTAAACAACACAGGGGAAAAAAGTGTCATTTTCCCTATATATAATAATCATATAAAAACCAATTGCTGTTAAATCAAAGTAATTACAGATTATTAGTATATATGTCCTCTAATGAAGGTGTGCATTCCTCAAAAAGAGAGAAATCAAATATAATCTTAGATATAAAATCATACTCCAAAATGTCATTGGAACGTAATGGATTATCAACTTCAATATGATTGCGAAAGCCTAAGAAATCAATATCCCCCCCCCCCCCCCCCCCCCCTTTAATTGGAATGAAGCTCGGAAGAGTAATATATAACACGTGTGATTGCAAATTAAAACAAACTCCCTTTGGCTTTGCTTACCATTCAGAACCGAAAAAATAAAATACAATAAAATAATTATTAAATTTATTTTTAAAAATAAGAAATAAAATTTATAATAAATAAATAAATTTTGAACTGACAATAAAATTAAAAAAAAAAATTGTTTGAACTGAACCATGACCATCCATACATATAAACAATAATTTGTTGGAGAAAAAAATATAAATGAAATATTTAGTTTTAATGGTAAAAATGTCTATCAAACATAAAAGGAAGAAAACATGTCACTTTTAATATAACTAGAAGGCAAATGTGGATACATGAATAACTAAGAGGGAAAAAATGTTAAAAGCATATACCTAATGGAAAAAGTGTCATTTATAATAAATATTTGTTAAAAAAATAATGTTTGACTAAAATTAATGAAAGCGGTGCAAATAGCAATTTTTTATTTACACCACCTAAAAGTTATCACACCTATTAAATAGGTGGTGTAAATAGCAATTAGGGTGGTGCAAATAGAATTCCCCAATATTAATTATCATTTCCAGTTTTCAAAAAAAGAAATATAACTGTGCATTTTATATTACCATTTACCTGCATACACATTTTTTTTTAAAAAAATTCTTCCATGATAAATCTGAATTCATTTAAATTTTAATTAAATGTTACCATTAATATGAATTATACAATTATATATATATATATATATATATATATATATATATATATATATATATATATATGCACACACTATTATTTAAAAAAAAAATATGACTAAAATTTTAATATTTAATATTAATATTGAGCATATAATTTTTATGCATCGCACATATAAAATATTAGTCTTTCTTATAAGTCACAAAGGTGCATTGAAAATAACGTGAATAGTTAAGGCAACACTAATAAAATCACAAAATTATAAGTTGGATTTTTGGTCGATAATAAATAGTGAAATTACTATTCAACACAATTCAATAAACTAAGACAATATCGCCCGACAGGACTAGGACTAGTAGAAGGAATGCTCTTGGTAAATATGAATAAGCCACTTCCCAATTCCTATTTACCATTTCCTTACACAGTTATTCCTATATTGTAAGACTGAAAAGCCCCTAAGCCAGCCCCCTGTGTCATCCAATTGTATCAATTACTATTGCGTGAAGCACCACGGCCCAAAAATACATAAAGTACATTATTTTAACTCATAAAATACATTATTCTAACTCATAAAATATATTATCTTAACTTAGAAATTTCATTATTCTACCACATATAAAGTACATCATTCTAACTCATAAAATATATTATCTTACTACATAACATTCATTATTCTAATACTTGCGCAGAGCAAGAATTTTTTTTTTTTTAAATATTAAAATAGCGTCATTTTGGACTGTGGTCCACACAATAATTTTCCAATTATTTACCATGGATTAGGGTTCACCTTGCATTGTGGACCTTAGTCCAAAAATTATATATTTGCACTTTGCAATTATCATATTATATGTATTCAATTGATAATATGTGTGTATAAACAACTTAAAGATGCATAATTTGTTAACTACATGCACATAATAATATATTAACAACGTGTCTGTAATTAATATATTATATACCTTCTATTTATTTACATACACATAATATGTTAACTTCAAAAACATAATTTAAATGTAATTTTTGATTAAGATTTACAATACAAGGTAGATCGTACTCTTTGAGTAAGGCACACACAACTCTCCATTACTCTAAATACTCTCATTCGTAATAAGTTTCGTCCGACCACCTTGGGATTTAATCCATTTGGGATTTCTAAATATATGTTGTCCCATTCTAGCCCCTAAATTAATCACTTTGGCAAAGGCATTGCTCACTACCAATGCTCGACTTTTAATCCACAGTAAGGATGTGTTTGGTTAAAAACATTGGAACCAAAATAGTAATGAGAATCAAATATTTGGTATTAGTAAGAGTTAATACATAAAATGATCCTCGACTATGTTGTTTTTTCTCGATTTCGTTCTAAACGATTTTTGTGGTCTAATTTAGTTCTAATAAACTTGTGCAGTTTTGCTCAATGTAGTCCTCCGTTTGTATTTCTATCCAATAGGTTGTTAAATGGAAGGGCATTTTGGTAATTGCAAGACTTTATTTCTTGATAATCTTTTTCGACATACATCATCTTTCCACAAAACATCTTTTTCTTGATAACTCCACTCCAACCAATAGAGAGATCGCGACAGAACCGTAGATTGAAGTCGGAGCCACCGCTACCGCTATCGCTTTCATATATCATCGGTTCTGCCTCAATCTTATTAGAGACCAACGCACAGTCCAAGCAAGAAGATAACCAGCAGGGGTAGTAGCAGGGACGGAGCCAAAGGGGGGGCAGGGGGGTCAGCTGCCCCCCTCACCCCACCCCCACCCCATATATAATCTTTGTATGTATATGTGTATATATAGTATAGGTTTTAGTATTAGTATAAAAAAAACTAGCAAATGTCAACAAGTAATGAGTTAGATTAGTTGGTAAGGCATATGTTCTTTAATAAGAAAGGTTTTGGGTTCAAATCCTTGCAACATAGTATTACATATTTTTGAGTCCTCCTATAATGTGTTTTCTATTCAAATTATTTTATCAAATTAATTATGTTTAATATTTTGTTATGAAAGTTTATAAAAAAAATTCTTAGGTAATTTAATTTATTTATTTTTTTAAAATTATCTCTTTTGTTTTAATGTTTCGCTTTTAGTGGAAAAAATTTCTGAATCCGTCCTACTTCTTCGCCCCCTCAATCCAATTTCTGGCTCCGTTCCTGGGTAGTAGTGTAATCATATCTTTCTTGAGTTGGTTATAACCGCGATCTTCTTCTCCCGTTGTATATAAGAGCAATGTAGCTTCTGCTTCTAGTGATGTAACATAAACAATCCTCACTTCAATAATATCTCACACAGTTTTCTTTCTTCCTTCACTGTGAATGCAACGCACAGCCGATATGGTATCAGAGCCGCACCACCGCTCCTACGTAGCCACCGTCACCGTCGCTCCAGGAGCAGTTCCGCAGAT